GAGTAGGAGAGACATTAAATGTTCAATCCAAGCATGATAACATTAGGATAGTTTTTTCCCTCTTAATCTCAATCATAGGAGCACATTGCATGATAACATTAGGGTTGATTAGTTTCCCCTTAGAGTTTCTGTCTTCTCTTCTCATCTCAAAACTTCTTCAAAACATCTAATAAAGGATAATAAATGTTGTACGCTAAGAGCCTTAAGTACTTGGGGAATGATGGTTGGGGGGCTTCCTCTCAAATATCTAGAGTGTTTAGCGTATGCCCTTTGGGCGATATGTGATGCATTCGCTATCAAGTCATAGTCTTTAGTGCAACATGAGTTACAAACTTAACTCAATTCACTTCTTCTCTTAAAAACCACAAAACAAAACATCAAACTTTTTTCTATCCTTTGGGATTAATCAAAAACCATTTTCAAAAAGAGTGTGTTAACTCTTGGTTCTACCGCAAACAGGTAACGCCTAAGTCTCCAATGGTCGAGCAGCAATATACCTAACTGCTAGAACGAAGGTTTAACCCTACTCAGTTAAAACACTTGAACCAACTTGTGGCCGTGTTAGCCTGAACTACGTTTTCTCTGATTTCTCATACCAGATGAGGATATGTAGGCACAAGACAACGATGTCTTGGCGAGCAACCTTTCCCCCCTTCACTCGTAGTTTTCCGAACTATGTTGACTCTGACTTTCCCATTGCATGAGGGAGTACGTAGGCATAGAGCGGCAATGCTCTATCGAGTCTCTTTTATTTTCTTTTGTCCCTGTGGCCAGCCTTATAGATTAACACCCTTTTAGATAGACAACAAGCGTGGATCTCGTTGAGTACAATGGACGTGAGGGGTGCTCATACCTTCCCCTTGCATAACCGACTCCCGAACCCAAGATTTGGTTGCGATGACCTGTCTTTTCCCTTTTCCGTAGGTTTTCTATGATCGTTTACTTTCCCTCTCTTTGGGATAAATAACGAACGGTGGCGACTCTTCTGTCTTTGCTGGCCCCTCTTTGCAGCGATGTGACACTATGCATGCATGTTCATCTATCTCGTGACATGTGTGTATTATGGTTTAGGTTCCAATTTATGATATAGGCATGCCTAAGAATTTTATTTGTTTTCTTGTTTGTATACAAATTGTTTAATGATTAAATGTGGTTCTTGGTTCTATTTAAGTAGATTATTTAAACTTCAATATTTAATAGTGATGTCTTGTCTTCTCAAGGAAAAGAGGAAATTATGGGCTGACTTAATTACCATCAAAGGAAAAATATTGGCTGGGGAGTGGCTTATCGGGGGAGATTTCAACGCGGTTAAGTCATCGGAGGAAAGGAACGGAAATGGTAAACCGATTATGGGGGGATGGATGATTTTTCTTCGTTTATAAAAATTGTGGAACTCAATGATCTTCCAGTAGAAGGTAATAGATACACTTGGTTCAATTGCAATGGGAAGTGAAAGAACATACTAGATAGGATCCGATTATCAGAATTGTTAATCAAGGTATGGTGTGTAATGGTTCAAATGTCTGTAATCACGACATTTCAGACCATAGACCAGTTTGGTTGAGATCAAATATTTGCAACAGGGACCCGAAGCTGTTCAAAGACTTTAGATGTTGGTTTGAGCGTCCGAGCTTCATGGATTTTGTTAGTGATGTGTGGAACTCAAATGTCATTTTGGGTAGCATTGATCAACTTTTCATGAAGAAGTTCAAAATGCTTTGGGAAAGGTTGAGATGGTGGAACACCAATGTCTTTGGATGGATGGATTTAAAAATAGAAGCTAAGGTAGATAACTTGAATGGAATCGAAGCTATCATGGGGTCTAACAGTGATGAAATCTCGAAAGATCTTTTGCATAAAAGGTGCAAAGCACAAGAATCAATTTGGAAGAATTTATTCTTAAAGGAAAGTATACTCAAGCAAAAATCTAGGTTGGATTGGGTGAAGGATGGAGACTTGAATTCTGGCTATTTCCATTCCATTATGAAAAGCATGTTTAGGACTAATTTTATTTCTTTTGTTAACGACGGAAGCATATATGTTGATGTTGTTCCCTCTGTTAAGAAAATCATAAAGAATTTCTTTTCTTCTAGGTGTCAGTCTACGTGTGGTGCTAAACTTGTGTTAGATTTGTCCGATTTTCCAAAACTAAATGAAGCTGAAATAGATATGTTGTAAGAACCTTTCTCATCATACGATTTTTCTGAAGCTATTCATGGGTGTGACGGGAACAAATGCCCAAGCCCCAATGGATTTAATCTTGAGTTCTTGAAAAGGTGTTGGGGGATCGTGGGCTCGGATGTTACTAATTCCATCAAAGAGTTCCACAAAACTGTTGTTTTTCCTAAAGCTTCCTCTTTCTTAGGTTTGATTCCAAAGAAAATTAACCCTCAAGGTCTAGATTATTATTACCCAATTAGTCTTATGAGCTGCATATACAATATTATTGCTAAAATTGTGGTCTCTAGGCTCAGCAAGGTCATTGGAAGGTTGGTGTCTCCGTCTCAAACAACGTTCATTCTGGGTGAGAGATTTTAGACGGTGTTTTGGTTGCTAATGATCTTATCAATCTTGTTAAAAGGAAGAAGGGTAAGCGTCTCCTATTTAAAGTCGATTTTACACAAGTCTACGACTATGTAGATTAGGATTTCCTAGAATAGGTATTGGTGGCTATGAATGTGGTAATTGGATAAGGCGGATAAAAGGAGGGGTTTGCAATAGTTTTCTATTTGTTCTTGTAAACAGGAGTACGTCAGAAGATTTTAAGTGTGCGAGGGGTTTGAACAAGGTGACCCTTTGTCTTCATTCTTGTTTACATTGATGGCAGAGGGCCTGACTGTGTTGATGAGAGGGGCTCTATAACTACTATGTTGTAATTGATTTTGCAGTTATTGAAAACAAAAATTAAAATACAAACCAAAATTTATCCTATCATTTTCTCTTATATTTTCAATATATGTAAATTATTGTATAAAATCATTTTTCTAATCTAATAAAAAATTTAAATAAATTTACATAGTAATTAAACTTAAAATATGATTATTTATAAAAAAAAATTAAAGATATATGTATTCTTGTTTTATTACTTGAGACAAATTGAAGAAAACAACAAAACAACTTATAACACTACTAGAAAAAAGACATTTGAGAGAATGATTTTACATCGTAAATAATATAAAAAAATTATTAGAGCTTTTACATCGGGCTAATTATTCCACCGATGTAAAAAAGTCAGGGTTGGTAGAAAATATATTAATAACTGGGATTTTAAATCGGTTTTGGGTCCAACCAATTTAAAAAGTAATATTTAAAAAAATTAAAAAATGGGCTTTTAAATCGGTTCTTTTTTCCACCGATTTAAAAAATAAATTAAAAGATGGGCTTTTAAATCGGTTCTTTTTTCCACCGATTTAAAAAGTCAATACGAGTGAGCTTTTTAAATTGGTTGTGCTTTCCACCGATTTAAAAAGTTTTGTGCACTATGCTTTTAAATCGGTTCCATATTCAACCGATTTAAAAGATCCTGCGAATTCTAAATTAAGTTTACGTTCACAACAGAACCTGCACATTTCAAGCTTTCTTTCAAACCCTCCTCTCCACGATCCACTTTTGTCGACCCTCATTGTTCCCCCTCCGACCCACGCCGTCCTCCCTCCGCCCCACGACAGCGCCTCCTGCCTCCGCCATACACATGACCGTGCGCGCGCCGTGTTCCTTCCTCCTTCGTTCGTGCGCACGCCGTCCTCCCTCCGCCCACGACCCACGACGAAACCTCCCTCCTCCGTCATTCCCTCACTGATTCTGTCACCTCCTCTGTTTCGTTTGGATGCTATGCATAAACATTATGCTGAGACTTGGTTCAAGATTAAGGGAACCAAGTAAGTGAGTTTTTTTATAGTGATTTATGGTTGTTTATTATTTTGAGATTGATTCTCTTTTGGTGGTGAATTTGTGAGATTTATGAATGCCAGTGTTGTCCAATGTATTTTAGTATATGTTTGCTTTCACGCTTGGAGCATCTAGAATTTGAAAATAACCAGTAATTAGTAATAGTAATTCAAAGGAAGTGTTGAGTTTGAATGACCGTGTGCAGTACTGCGGTAGAAGTTGCTAGTAACAGTGTCATGTTCTTTTTTATTTTCTTTACTTCTCTGATTAACTGCATGCTTGTACCAAACAGAAGGAAAAGAGAGAAATAATTCACACATGGGGATGAGGGTTTTCAGTATTCAAAAGCAAAAACTGTCTCGTGATGATGTTTCCGTATATTTTGAAAAAATATAATTTTATACTACTTATACTCTATTGTTTAAATTAATAGTAAATTTCAATTGTTTTTACTACTTATACTCTATTGTTTAAATTAATAGTAAATTTCAATTCTGAAAAAATATAATATTATACTACTTATACTCTATTTTATACTACTTATAATTTTTTACTACTTATACTCTATTGTTTTTGGTATGTCAAATATATATAGAAAAATAATTAATAATAATTATAATTAAATAATTTATATTTAAATTTAAATTATGTTATACTTATGTTATTATGAAAAAAAAAATAGATTTTAAATCATAATACTAATTACAACCTTGACTTTGTCTAAATCCCATCTTGGTGACAAATCCTATCATTGACTTTGTCTAAATATAACCTTGAGTGCATAGTGTAAGTTCGGTACCCTCTTTGTTGTTTCTCTTATTTTGGTATCTGAAAATAAAATAACTAATTAACTAAATAAACTCCAATGGCTTCAGTTTATTGATATTTCGTTTCTCGCATAATTTGTGTCCATCTTTTTCTCTTAACCGCGAGTCATCCAGCCGCCACGACATTGCATGTTCTCTTTTCATTCTTTATAACTTCTCAATTCTTCTTTTATGCCACGTGTTTACACGTAGAGACTTTTGTTCTCTCTAATGTCCAAAAGAGGGACTACTATAGGCATCCTAGTGATTTAAATTTGTATGCATTAATAATTTCGGAACATAGGTATGAATCGTAGTTGGATGAGAGCCAATCGACTAAGTGTCGAGTACGAACATGGAGTGATGGAATTTCTAGAGATTGCTGAAAGTAATGCTAAAAAAAATCTTGCTCCTCCTAAGAGTGATGCTGAAAAAAGTCTTCATCTGGTTTTTCTCTGTCCATGTGTTCGTTGTGCAAATCACGAACCAAAACTCAATAAGAAAGAAATCATGGATCATCTAATTTTTCATGGGATTTGTCAAAGTTATACACAATGGATATGGCACGGTGAGGTAGTAGCAAAGTCAAGTGTGTCCCAAAGAGATAATGTTAGTGCAGAAATGGATGATCGTCTGGAAGACATGATGCGTGATACTGGACAAGATTCGTTTAAGAAGGCGCATGCGTATGATACTTTATGCAGTGACAAGGATAAACCTTTGTACCCAGGATGCACAAATTTTACATGTTTGTCAGCCGTGTTAAAATTGGTTAATTTGAAGGCAAATAATGGGTGGGCTGACAAAAGTCTTACCGAATTGCTTGAATTGTTGAAATAGAGGCTTCCAAAAGGTAACGTAATGCCAAATCGTTATTACGAGGCGAAAAAGATATTGTGTTAGATGGGTTTGGAGTATGAAAAGATACATGCATGCCCTAATGATTGCATATTATACAGAAAAGAGTATGTAAACTATAATCATTGTCTGAAGTGCAAGGCGTCACGCTACAAAAAGAAAGCTGGTGATTCTAGTGATGATGAGGCGGTAAAAAAGGTTCCTCCCGCGAAAGTGGTATGGCACCTACCAATAATTTCAACGTTCAAGAGACTATTCGCTAATGCAAATGACGCAAAGAATCTTAGATGGCATGCAGAAGAAAGAAAGTGTGATGGAAAAATTCGCCATGTAGCTGATTCTTTACAATGGAATAAAATAGATGCTTTGTTTCCAAAATTTGGCAAAGAGTCGAGAAAACTTAGACTTGGACTTTCAACTAATGGAATGAATCTGTTTGGTAATCTAAGTACTAACCATACTTGTTGGTCTGTTCTCCTGATGATCTACAACCTATCTCCTAGGTTGTGCATGAAGCGTAAATATATTATGTTATCGATGATGATTTCAGGCCTAACACAACCCGGAAATGACATAGATGTTTATCTAAGTTCTCTGATTGATGATTTAAAAGTGTTGTGGGAGGAAGGGGTGGATGTTTTTGATGTGTATTCTGGTGAACAGTTCAATATGCATGCCATGTTATTTTTCACCATCAACGATTTTCCGGCATATGGCAATCTGTCTGGTTATAAAGTTAAAGGGCATAGAGCATGTCCTATATGTGAAAAAGACACATGTTACCATCAACTTGAAAAAGGAAAGAAGATTTTGTTATCTCGGGCATCAAAAATTTCTAGATCGTTATCATCCATATCATAGATTGCAGAAAGCTTTCAATGGGAAACTAGAGCATGATGTTGCTCCAAAGCCCTTAATAAAACTTACTTTTGTACAAAGTCAAAGGATGGTCGTAGTACCACACAAAATAGTGGGGTTATGATTGTGGCCGAGTCCATGCACTTCTCTAGTGCTAAAGATAAAAACCCAGTTATGGCATCTACACCCTACTTTGGGGTGATTGAAGAGATTTGGGAAGTTGATTATGTTGTGTTTAAAGTTCCTGTATTTAAATGCAAATGCATTGATATCAACAATGGTGTAAGAATCGATGAATTCAGAGTTACATCGGTTGATCTTAGCAAGCTAGCTTATGCGGACGAACCTTTCATCATGACGTCTCAAGTAAAACAAGTGTTTTATGTCACAAATCCTTCTAATAAAAGGTGGTCAGTGGTTATACAAGGAAAGGTGCATCATAGTGATGAAAATCAAGATGTGAACGTTGATATTTCCGAAACTCCTCCTTTCTCAATGAATGTGCCTACCTTTGTTGAAGAAAACGAAGAGGATGACGTGCACGCTATTCGCATAGATCATGAAGAAGGGATATGGGAGAACTATTAAGGTTATTTTATACGTTAATTTGACATTACTTTAATTTCTATTTTTTTTATTTTGTGCTTAATTTGATGTCTAATTGTTTATATTTTGTGTTTAATTTAATTTTTAATTGTTTTTATTTTGTGTTAACAGATACATGGTTGATTCAACCGACAACCCTTCTTCATCTAGTGACCCTCAAAAAAGAAGAGTTAGAGGTCCCACTTTGATGACACAAATTAACAAAGTTCATCAAACGGGTGAAAAGATAAAGGTCGAGTTTCATCCAATAACCAAGGGATGTATGGGTAAAAATGCTTCAAATTTTAGGAGTTACATAGCGTCTCTTGCTCGACAGAGATGTAGTATTTTGAAAAATGAGTGGAAAGATATAGATGAAGGCATAAAAGAAACTATTTGGGCTGATGTTCAAGTATATTTAACTGCTACACTTTATTATATTTTATAATCATATACTAACAACATATGCCATATACTATATGTGTAGGCTCATTTCACTATTCCAAAACTTCATGATCCAAAGAAGGATCCGTTGAAGAAAGAATGGATTAAATATGCACGAGAGCGATAGAGAGCTTTTAAGACACAACTCACAAGTGAGTATATTAAACACCCCAAAGAAGGTCTAGCTCCTCCATATATCGGGTATAATCATATTAAAGAAGTATGGAAGGATTTTGTGCAGTCTCGAGATACTCCTGAATTTAAGGTTAGTAGGAGTCATAATATTTTTTGTGCATAACATTTTTATTATGTTTAGTATGATTAATAACTTTTTGAGTTCATAATAGGAAAAAATTCAAAAGGGTGCAACAAATGTGGCTAAGAATGTATACCCACATGTATTATCTCGTGGAGGGTATCATTTGCTTGAGGAGAAAATGATAAATGAAAGGAGATCATCGAGAGATGATTCTACCTTAGATGATACTGGTAGCCCATCTCCATCGTCACGGCATGAGTTATGAAAGAGAGCACGATAAAAGAAAGGGGGAGAGTACACATCAAAGGCTACACAAGTTATTGCTGAGAAAATTGTAAGTAAAAAAATATGGTTTTTTCATTTTGTAGGATTCTCTAGTTATAGTTGTGATTGATAAAAAAAATATGGTTTTTTCATTTTGTAGGATTCTCTAGTAGAAGAAGCTGAAAAGGGTGGATTTGTTCCGGATGGACGTAACGATATCTTAACAGTAGCCATTGGAACATCTGAGCATGGCGGCCGTGTTCGTGGGGTTGGAAAACACCATAAACAAAGCACTTTCTTTGGCAGATCTTCTTCACGTCAATGATAAGAAGATATAAGAGAACAATTTGCACAATTTTCATCTGAATTAGAAGCAAAGCTTAGAGCTAATTGTGATCAAAAGTTGGCTGAAGAGCGTAAGGCGATGGAACAATCTTTCATGGAGACACTTAGGTCTATGGGTCTCTCGCAACAAAGCACTAAAAATAATAATAAATGAATTGTACAATGGGAAATTGTTGATGGAAGCGGAAAAGGAAGTTGTTCTGCTGCAAAAGCAAGCACAAAAGAAAGAGAAGGAGAAGAAAATGTTGAGAGATTAATGAGAATGGTTCTAAGAATGGGTGATGATAATTTGGCAATAGAATTAAGTCATTGTGCGAGCGCCAGTAATTTTTATATGTCAGCTAAGTGTATCAGAGAGGTGCTGGTGGGTTTTAATTGGCTTGATGTGTCTACTCTCCATGTTTGGTGCACATAAGTACATTTTCTATTTTTATTAGTGTCAATATCTATTAATATGTTATATCTCTCATCACTTTTATTATAATGTTGATTTTAAAAATTTTCAGGTATATTCATCGTTTGTGTATTGATACTTCACAATCTGAAGTATACGAATTTATGGACCCTGCTATGTGTTCGTACGTTGATCATGTGCCAAAAACTCAAGCAAGTGTCAAACAATACATACAAGATAAGTTACGTGACGAAAAGAGAGAGTGTCACTTGCTACCATTTATCCATGGGTAAGTTTGTATGAAATTATGTTTTCTATTTTTTAATTTTGGTAACATATTGTCGCTACTGCGAAAATCGGCCCCGGCTAAACAGAAGAGTCGCCACCGTCCGTTATTTATCCCAAAGGAGGGAAAGGAAACGCTAAGAGAAAACCTAACGAAAAGAGGGAAAAGGAATGGTCATCGCAACCATGTCCTGGATTCGGGAGTCGGTTACGCAAGGGGAAGATATTAGCACCCCTCACGTCCATCGTACTCGATGGGATCCATGCTTAATTGTTTATCTCGAAGGGTTGATTAATACTATCTAGCTAAGGGCTTAAGGACAAAACAAAAGAAAAGTGAATCGGCAAAGTATCGCACTTTATGCCTACGTATTCCCGTCTGGAACGAGAAATCAGAGTCAACGTAGTTCGCCTAACTACGGGTACAAGGGGGGAGGTTGCTCGCCGAGATATCGCATCTCGTGCCTACATACTTTCATCTGGTATGAAAGATCAGAGCAAACGTAGTTCGGGCTAACTAGACCACAAGTTTTTTTTAAGTTGTTTTTAACCCGAGTGGGGTTAACAATCGGTTCTAGCAGTTTGATGTATGCGGCTCGACCATTGGAGACTTAGGCGTTACCGTTTGCGAGAGAATCGAGAGTTAACGAAACTCTCATTATGAAAATGGGTTCTAAAGTTAAAGTTCCCAAAGGACAAAAAGGATTTGATGATTTGTTTTTGTGTCTTTTATGAATAAATGTTTTGATTAATGTTTTGGAGTGTACATTGTATTGAAGTCTCAAACCCAGGATCGAATGCGTCGCATATCGTCCTAAGGACGTATACCAAACACTCTAGACAGTTGAGAGGTGGCCCCCCAACCATAACTTCCCATGCTTAAGGCTCACAACACAATATTCACTAGCCTTATTAAGTGTTTTAATAGGATTTGAAGAAAAGAAGAGAAACAGACTTCTAAGGGAAACTACACAGCCCTAAATATTATCATGCAATGTTCGTCCTATGGTTGAAGTTTGCAAAGGGGAAGACTACCCTAATGTTGTAATACATGGTTGCAAAGCCTAATGTCTATCACATTCCATCTTGAACAAGGAAGAATGGAGATCCTAAGGGAAAGGCAAAGGAAGCAACGGAAAACAGATGAAATAAATAGCATATAGGAAATGCGGATTCATAAAGGTAAACATGGAATGCAACTGAGGGAGGAAGGACCATCTCAACCTCAAGCCCATAATGAATGTAAAATGGCCTATTTTAAACATGCAATCTTGGCCACAAGTGATTATAACGTGATACGATGCAATAAAACCTACGAATGACATACGCATACCACAATTTGGAATCATAACGCGCTATCATGGAAATATGGAACCTAATGGGCAATCATGTGTGATAAAACCAGCCAATCAATTATCTACACATCCTATATAATGTCTATAATAAGCAATAGGAACCCTAGCGTTCACCACACAAACAAATCGAGGCCGTTGGAGCCAAAATAAAACCGAGGTCCGTTAGAAAGTCCAAATTACAAGTCTGAATACA